TATGCTACTGGTAAAATGTTTTTCAGTAGGTAGCCCAACTGGAAATGTTTTTTGAGGTAGCCCTAGAAAGCATACTGAATATCGTCTAGTTTCTTTTGGAAACCAGAACATTAATATTGCTTATTTACCCCAATCAAAAAAAGAAATACCCATTGTTCTTGGGTTCATTCAGAAATAATGAGTGAAGAGTCAAATCTATCTTGAGATATTGTTGTTAAAACATTTTTATTCAACTTTTATATATGTGTTTAAAGATGTTTTTTATAAACCAGTAGAGACTAACTGCATTTGGCAGCATTTTAGGGAATGGTAACATCATAGTTATTACTTTCTTACTCTTCTCAAAGAAGTAGGTTGAGAAACAGCATTTGTGAAGGGTAACCTCAATTTGTGCAATTAGCACATTCCTATGTTAACTCTAATGTGTAGTTATGAATTGATTAATCCAGACTAGTTCTCCTGTGTGGAATTTCTGTTACCGAAATTTGTTGCTATATTTGTCACAATAATAATTTTAAGGCTATCCCACCTCCTCTGTTTATTAGCTGTGTCCTTGGTTGGGCAAGTTGTTTACCACTTTGTACTTCAGTTTTGTCATCTATAAAATAAAGATAATAAATGTACCTATCTCTTAGGTTTTTAAGGATTACAAGTGAATTTATGTAAAGCATTTACCACCTACTAAATTCTCCATGAGTATTACTACTGGAATTACTATTTCTTTTTTTATTTCTTTAAACACAGTATTTGTATGACACCTGACCTATGTGAGACATATTCTTAATCTCATTATCAAGAGTTTTAGTGGTGCATCTTTTTTGGTGCATCTTTTTTTTATAGTGATTATGACTTATGTAACTTGAAAAGGCATTCTTTGTGTTAGACATTAGAGAGTATGTTTTAAATTATAGTTTGCATTCTGTGTGCTATCGTAACCTTTCTTGGTTTCTTTTGCCCTTGTTTTATCAACTTTATTAAATATCTATATATTTTTACTTAAACACTACAGTTATTTTATCAAACAAGTGACTTATATCTGGATTTTTAAGAGACTCAGAAAAATTAAGTACTGAAAGCATTTAAGTTATATAATTGCTTTAGGATTCAAATATAATTCTCTGATACAGTTCATACAGTTATGCTGCTTCTCATTTTAATAGGACACTTTTATTTTCAGTAGGGCTTCTCCGTTGCAAATCAAAAGAGCAAAAATCCAAATGACACAGAATCTTAAGAGATATATGGATTTTTCCAGGGATCTGAATGAAGGTGAGGTGTTGAAGGTTAGACAATGGTAGCTCTAAAGGAACTAGATTTCATGTCCTGTTATTTAGAAATTTTTAAGGAAATGCAGAAAGAGGAAATGGTTTTGGCCCTATGATATCATTAGTGCTATTTATAGTCTCTTAAGTTCAAAGGTTTCATGGATAACAAAAATATATGCATAATGGGATCATTTATCTTTCTGGATTTTTATTAGTGCTTCCAAAATGTTTACATGGATTAAGCCACAGACTCTTTTTTTTTTTTTAATTTGCCAGTCTACTTACTTTTAGGATTCGTGTGTAGGTAGGAAGTATAAGGTAATGATATATATTTTAAACAGTTCCATCAAATAGTATATGGTTAAGTAAACAAGTTATTTATTCACTTTTCATGGTACTAAAACTCAAATATTCTAAAGACAGCAACATTTGAAAATGCTATTGCTCTGTTTTAAAAATTAATTCATATCACATAACCTTACAGATTATGTTGAAAAGTTCTTTTAATTAGGTTTGGTTAAATTTACTTGCTCTGTGAAAGTTCAGTTTTACTTTGTTGGTCTTGTATTTTGACACACCAAAAATAACTTAGTTGAAAATTATTTCTAATTATAATTAATATTCTGAAAGTAGGGACAATCATGTCTTTAAGGAAAAGCTGGAATTTCAATTTTACTCCCACTGTAAGGCCTTAACTATGAAAACTAACAACTCGTCTTAATGGGAATGCTATTTTTTTCTCTCAAGAGGGGTTTTATTTTAATGGAAAGGTACATTAGAAATGAAGAATGCCTCTTTTTAATATAATGGTATGCAGAGAGTAGGTGATAAAACTAAATTGAATTAGTCTTCTAGGAAATGCCAGGTTTTTGCATTTTCTTTCCCTCTGAAGACTGAAAAAAAGGAAGAATATTTCTGATTGGTATTTGGGGTTGATATTAACAGCAATGAACTCTATTAACTGGTTACTCATTGTGTAGCAACAAATAGTCTTTTTCCTTTACTTCAGTAACTGAAAGGGGGTCTTTTCTACTGGAATCAGCTAGGTTGAAAAAGAGGATCCCTGGATATTGATCGTCTTTCCTATCATTATTAGTAAATATTTTCTTACTTGAATGAGGCAAGTAGTGTACACATTGTATGAATTAACAAGAAATGAAAGTACTTTGGAATCATGGCCAAATGAAGTAGTTCTTTTTCATATCATTCACAGAATGGTGATTCAGAATGTGTTGGTGTAGAAGTGAAGAATTTTCTCTGTTGAAATTTAAAAATTGAGTTACCAGTTGCTAACATTAACTCCTTAGAAGTCTGAACCTCTTAAGTCTCAACATTTTTTCCTGGGCCCAGGCAAAACACTCAAGAACAACGTTAGTTCAGAATACCATCTGTTTTCAGTGAGGTACTGGGATTTTCAAAATTAACACCCTTCCATTTCTTTAAAAATATTATCAGTGGGATGCCTTCTTCATGTTACCTTTTAAATACCAGTAGGGAAATACTTAAAGGAAATAAGACATCATCTTTCCTTTTTCCTCCATTTTTTCACATTGTCATTTATGCCATTTTGTTATGCATTTTATATATCCTCATGCAATCTCATAATTCTTTATTAGAAAAAGGAAAATATATAAATAAATGAGATTATTTAGGACAAAGCTTCATGTTAATTTTGTATCTCTTTTTTTATTTATTTATTTTTATTTATTTATTTTTTAGAGGCATTTTTGTTTGTTTGTTTGTTTGTTTATACATGCACTGGGTACAGTCAGAAGCGCGGGAGGGTGAGAGAATTCACCAGAGCCAGAGCTGGGAGCAGAGCAGGCAGAAGGACCGAAGTACACTGCTGAGGGGAGCAGCTGGCGGCAGGAGAGGTCTGCGCGCCATGTGGAACCCTCCTCCAGTGGCCGGGGAGCTGCCGGGGATCGAACTGGCGCCTCAGAGGCCGCGGGCAGCTTCGCAACCCAGTGCTCAACCACTGCGCCACCGGGGAGGCCCTAATTTTGTATCTCTTTTATAGAGCAGTATACTATCATTATTTCCCACCTGGGAAGCATATTAGATATCACCTATGTAGTGTTTAATTAAAAAAAAAAGCATATTTAGTAAGCCCCTCTTTAGATCTACTCCATAGAATCCAAATCGCCAGGGTGATGGTACCTAAACTATATTTGCTGTAAGTTCCCTCATCCATTTCCAATATGTAGCTTTGATTTAGAACCAAGCATGTTTTCCATTTGTTTTATACTCTAGGACCATGTGTGATATAACTTCTTATAGTGAATATTTTTCTGAGACAATTAGTAGCAGGAGTTTCTTCAAATCTGTTCTTAAATTAACTTTTAAGATTTATATGTCTATATATACATTTGAATTTTTTAAATAATTTAATTATAAAAGTGACCCACAAACATTTACTTTGATCTGTTTTCTTGCAGCATGATCCTTTTCTTGAGCACAGCCATGAGTGGGAATGAGCTCATTCTCACCAAGAACCATCTCAGTAAACATTGATGATGGTTCTAAATTTAGTCTTGGCTCTTGTAACTGCCATTAGCGAATTAGAAGGATCTTCCTCTATAGTTTGCACAGAATTTCAAATTTGCAGTTGAAAAATCTGATAAAATGAATGAGATAGCCAAATTCTGATATGTCACAACTGGTCCTTTAGAGTTATTGGGATTTGTTGAGTTTGAATGTCATTGTTTCTCCAGTGTCTTTATGATTTAATATAACCCTATTCATACTTCCTAAGTCAGTACTTCTTTGATAGTGAGAACGTTGAAATAATTAAGACTTAACGCTGTGACTAAACAAAACCACTAGTTGTCTAGCTGCTTAAAATTTAGAGTTGCATATCAAAGAACTTACAAAAGATTTTTTTAAAGATTTTTAAATTTTCAGTAAAATTTACTATAGAAGTTTAACGTTCACTTGATATGAGTAGCATGAAAATTAATCAGAAACTGACAACAGCAAAGACACTGTCATCTATAACACTAACACATCTGCTTGTTTGTACTGTATGGCTGGCTCCCAAGTTGTTTTTTTAACGATAATTTTATGCCACAATTATTAATAGTTTGCTTAACTCTGTGTTACTGTTTCAGTGTTAACACATTATGTGTATGCTTCAGAAATTTGCTTATAAGTGCCATACTAATCATTGTCAAATAGTGTACCTCATCTAATGACTGTCTACTCAGTTTCCTACATTTTCATGTCTTTTAAAATGAAAGGAGTCATTGTGATGGTTCCTAGCATAACTTTTCAGGAGAAGTCATCAACTGCAAGAAAGTTTTTGCACATTATTGAGAAGTGTGTTTGCTTGTTGAGTTTGTTTAGCCTCTGTTTTTATAATGAAACCCTATGTTTTGGTCCCTATTGGAAGACAGCTAAGTGTGTATATTTCTATTAAAGTCAAATGGAAAGTATTTTCATCATTTATATACATATCAGATAAACATTTTAAAATGGGGTGGGGGGGTTAAATTAAAAGGAGAAAAAAATCCTTCACTCTTACTATGTTAAATGGGTGAGTAAAAGGGAAAAAAACCTCAAATGGACAAGAAATGCTTCTGAGTATCTTTCTTTCTCTTTGTTGGATTGGAGATGATTTGTCAATTGCTGTATGGGATGTATGTTCAGATAAAGGTAACTATAAAGCTAAGAGGCTTTCATCATATCTTAAAAATAATTTTGCACTTATTTTCATGGGTGTCGGGGTTGGTGTAGGACATGACAGCACGTGATTTGCTGCAGCAGAGATACACTCTTCCTAATGGAGACACTGCATGGAGGTCTTCGCCCCTTGTAAATGCTGCTATAGAAGGAAAGCTGGTCCTCTTGGATGGCATTCACCGGGTCAACGCAGGCACCCTGGCTGTATTGCAAAGGTTTGTGTGTCTTACATATAAAAAGCATACCATATAAATGGTAGACTTGGAACTCTCTTAGTTTTTTTAATTTTTTTTTTTATGTGTTACATAGATTCAGAGAAACTTATAATTCCACATCCAAGGTGAAATGCAGTGTTGTTTTTTTTTTTATTGTTGTAAACAGTACAATAAAAATTTCAAAAAATGAACATTCTGGGAAAATATGCCTTAGAAAGACTGTAATGCTTAAGGTAAATGCACCAAGTCACACAGCTGAAGTTTCTATAATTTATTAGAGTTACAGTTTCAACATCATAGTTGATATATGAAATGGTATTGATTTCATTATAAAGATTTTTGATATTTTAAACCTTGTGATTTCTAAAGGTAGAAATATTTTCATGATTTTTTCATTGTATGTTTACAGACTCCTTAAAAATCATATATCTAAGCTGTTGGTTATTCTTATTGAGAATTATTTTTGAAGGGGAGAGAGAAAATGTAGTTCCTTACACATAATGTAATAGCTGTTTGATTATATTTTATACAGGATATGAAGTCTTTACATTTATAAACTATGAGACTTATGTAACTTCTTATTTAAGTTTAGGCTGGGATAATACCCACCACACATTACTAATTCTCTAGAATTTGTTGTTAAGGGAAGACTTCGTGTTTAACTTTCATTGAAAATATCCCCATTTTGAGTCATTTGACAGATTAATAATAGTGATTTTTTTCTTTTTGATTACATCAGGATTCTGTCATTTGTAGACATTTGACTTTTAACTTTAACTGAGTGAAAAAAGATCAAATAAGTGGAATAATCCCTTTCCCCAAACCAACAAATCAAAATTTCTTATCCTTGATAGGATGCAGATAACAAGTATAATTAAAGATTCCAAAACCACTATGTTAATTCAGATTTGGGAGTATTTTAAAAGTAATATATAGAGTCTCGGTGTCTTATCATGTACATCCCATAGTTTTTAAATATTGTTCTCTTCCAAAAAGACAAGTGCAGAAATAAAATAATGAAATGTCTCCTTTCATTGGCTATCTTTCATCTGTTAGGCCAAGTAATTGTAACAGCAGCTATCATTAATTTGAGTACTCTCTGCTGGGCACTATGCTAGGACAGTTCTTCTCAATCCCTTACCTTGGAATCACCTTGCAGGGATGGAATTTAAAAATCACTGATACCTGGACTCCGACTCCACTTACTCAAATTGTGATGTAATTCACCCGGGATAAGGCTTCAATATTGGTATTTTAAAATTCTTCCTAGAAGATTCTAATGTACAGCCAATATTAAGAATGAATATATTAAGCATCTGCCTTACATTAGCTGTCAGTTTGCACAGCAATACTAAGGAATTGGTATTATTGCCACAATTTATAAAAGGTAAAAATGTAGAGTGAGTAGTATTCTCCCTCCCTGCTCGTTCGACTAATAAGGTACACAGCTGGATTTCAAACTAGACTGACTCTACTGTTCATGCTCCTAACCTCTGCATGATGCAGTCTACCCTCCCCTAAGTGCAGTAATGTCAAGAATAGTACTTTCAACATTTGCAACATCTGGAAGACAGTTCTGCAATTTGTGCTGTGGATAGTTAGGTAAACTATCATAGTTCGTATATGAAATAGTACTAGTTATATCACCACAGAGATTTTTGATATTTTTTATCCTGTAATTCTAAATCTAGAAATATTTTGATATTGTTCATTTCATAGTAAAATTACTCAAGGGAGTGTATTTCAACTGCCTTGTTCATAAACATGTATCTCATAGTTACCCTTTAGCCACTCCAGTTGTTTTTTTTTTTTTTTGTTTCCCTCCTCCTTCCACATTCCATCTCCTCCTCCTATCCACATCAGTATCCATGACTACTCACCCCTCATTCAGAAACCAGTAGTTTTGCCAAATATAGCGGCACTAGTCAACTTAAAATTTTGAAAGGTTGTTCTAATAAAGTTGGTAGACTCAATTGCCAGTAATACCAGACATGCTTAAAATGTTAACTGATTATAATAACAACCTCTAATAACATCAGTTTTCAAAACTGATTAATTTTGTTTCCTGACCTTCACCTGTCCCATTAGGTTAATCCATGATCGAGAGCTGAGCCTTTATGATGGCTCCAGACTGCTAAGAGAAGACAGATACATGCGTTTAAAAGAGGAGCTACAAATGTCTGATGAGCAACTACAGAAGAGGTAATTTTGGATACACTGCTCTTACTCCTACTGTCAAGTATACCTTCTTTTCATTTAATCTTGGGGTGAAACCTATATAACATTGAACAGCCTAATTTGCTGTGCTGCCATGCTCATAGTTTGGCACTTCTTAAACCTTGAGGAGTGTATCTAAGACATATGCTGCCGTCTGTTCTATCAAATTATTTTTGGTGTCATTTTTTTTCGAGATTACATTGGTTTAAAACACTATATGTACTTTAGAGTATAGATGGACACCACTTATGATACATGTTGTCATGCATATCCACTACTAAAGCACTCATTATCCTCTACCATAATCCACTGAGTCCCATCTTTACTTTGTCTCCCATCCCCCACTATCCCTATCTGGTAGCCATAATTCTGCAGTCAGCCTTCTAGGGTTTGTTTTGGTTTACTTTTGTCTGTTCCTTTGTTTTCTTTCTCTGTATTCCAAATATGGGTAAAACATCTGATATTTCTCCTTCTGACTTACATTGGTTAGCAAAATCCCCTCTAGTTTCATCTATGTTGTCACAAATAGCAATATTGCATCTTTTTTTATAGCAGAGTAAGTAGTATTCCATTGTGTGTCTCCATCACATCTTAGTCCACTCCTCCGTCCTTGGGAATTTGCATTGTTTCTATAACTTGGCTATTGTAAATAGTACTGCTATAAACATTGGTGTGCATATATCCCTTCAGATGAATGTTGTTATATTCTTTGGGTAGATTCCAAGAAAGTGGAATTGCTGATATGGCAGATCTACTTTTAATATTTTGAGAAAACTTCATACTGTTTTCCATAAGGGCTGGACCAGCTCTACATTCTCATCATTCTTCACATCCTTGCCAATACTTACGTTTCTGGTATTTTGATATGGGTCATACATTCTATCAATAGGTCTCCCACCAGCCCCACTTCCCCATTCCCTCTGGCCTCTCTAAGATTCATTTTCATAGTGAACCTCTTAGTCTGAACTTGTAATTTTCTTTTCCCTTGTATGTGTTTACAGTTTGTTAAGGACTTCATTGACTTTTAGAGACAAGCAGTCTGCTTTATGCCTAAATAGTTAAGGCCTATTTTTTTTTTTAGTATTCTTTTTTACCTGAGAATCATGCTATTTTCTATTATAGTTTTTCTACTTACTTATTTCTATTATAAATAGTTTTTCTCTATTTTGTTGTTTAACACAGTCATTCAACATAGTCATAGTTCAACATTTTACAGAACCTGCTTCATGCTGATGATATGGATTGTCAACAAATTTCTTTACCTTTCCTATTTAATTTGATTAAATTTTTGTGTGATTTTTGTCTTAGAATATGTATGTTCTCTTTTAAAGTTTTATTAGGTTATAATAGATTCTTCCTTTAACCCTATTGGTCAGTATTTCTTTCAAGCCTTTGTTTATTGGGTAGAGAGCAGAGAGTTTAACTAAAAAGACATAGCACAGCATAAAAAGTAGGAAATTTGTACTTAGGAAATTAATTATGAGTTGTTGTATTAAGTAATTGCCGATGGCAAGCCTTGGCAAAATGTTGTGTCAGGGGTTCCTGAAAGGATGAGAGGGCCTAGGCGACACGTTAAGGGCTGAAGGGAAGGAAATGAGGCAGATATGCACGCTTCTTTTTTGGTGCAAGTATCTCCTACTGAGGGGCTCAGCAGGTTTTTTATTTATACATTTTTAGCAAGCCAGTGAGATTACATTATCATGTGCATAGAAGCAAAGCAGAAACAATCAGTGCATCCCTTAGACTTTTTGTTGCTGTGTTCCTTCCACAAGAAAGCAACCTTCAAGGTTAATAGATAAAAAACTAAGCCTTATACTAAAACTCATTATTTCAGTTAGACAATTACCTAAGACAGTTGATAGCCATCAGTACACCCCTATCAGCTAAAGCCTAAGCATCAAAAGACTCTTCTACTCCTATGGCCTTCAGCCGGAAACCAGCTGCTTCTCAGTTATCAGAACTTTTCCTACCTAGAAACTCCTTAACACAATTAACTTCATTTAAAAACTTTCCTAAGAAATTTCTAAAAGAACAAAAGAAGGACTGACTATAATTGTTGCTCTGGACTGCTTGTCAGGCATGTACAATAAATTGTCTCCCATTGTCAAGTGGGCCAAATTGTTTAATAACTAATTTCTAAACAGATAATTTTCTGTGCCATTTTCTTTTTTTTTTTTAAGATTTATTTATTTATACACGAACTGGGGTACAGTCAGAGGCGCGGGAGGGTGAAAGAATTCACCAGAGACAGAGTGGGGAGCAGAACAGGCAGACGGACTGAAGACACTGCTGAGGGGAGCAGCAGGTGCCGCAGGAGAGGTCTGCTGCGCCATGCTGTGCCATTTTCTTACAGTATGCTGATATGTATAATTTATTGCCTAATTACTTTCTGAGAAATTTTTCTCTTTTTATGACCAAGAACAAAAAACAAAGGGATATTAAATCTTCAGCCCCACTGTGGGAGGCCCTTTAACTTCAGCCCCACGGTGTGAGGCTCGTTGAGCTTCGGCCCCACAGTGTGAGACCCTTTATCTTAGCTGCTTGCCAGTGTCTTACCTGGCTGGGGCAGCAAGGCCCCCTGCAGCAAGTAATATTATCTGTTATCTAACAAGAATTGATCCTATATTCTGTCCATATCTCTTGTCACTCTTGGCATTAGCATTGGCACTGCAGATTAACTCATAACTGAGTGGTCTCTCCTTCTTATATCTGTACCTAATCACAGAACTGAAATTCAGCAAAGTGATTATTTATCTGATAGTCTTTAAATAAACTCAGCTATTAATTAATGCTTTTTTTTATTTGTGGGGGATTTTAACATACAAATGTCAAAGGTAGAATGAAGAGAAGGCAGTGAGTTCTTTGCCTCTAGCTCCAGTCCAGTAAATTTAGATACCCATTTGACTGTCAGATAGGAAGAATTTTCATATTTGTGTTTGGCAGGACCACTTTAATTATAAGTTACAGAAAAAATTAATGTTATGGCACAAAGGAATTTTTTGGTGTCTTACATGTTCAAAGAAAGGTCAAGGATGTAATTGGCCTGCAGCAAATAACTAGAAGCTAGGACTTCAATGTTGTCAGGCTCACTGTCTTATCTCTTTGTTTCTAATGTCACAATAATGGCACATAGTAGATGACTTAGTAAATATTTTTGAATGAGCGAAGAGATCTTAGCCCAGGATAAATTCTGTGAAACTCAAGGCAAAAGTAATTCTGTTAATCCAGTTTTAGATTGACTACCAAACCTTTCAACTTCAGAGTGAAATCCAGTTTCGAAACAATTGTACTTGACTCATTTATCTACCTTCACTGTATTCTAATTCTTCATCAAAGTTCCATACCTTGATTATATCCAGAGTGACATTCTTTGCAGGTAATCACATAGCTAATATGACCTTAGCAATGGGTAAGAAAGTCTTAGAGACTTTCCTTCTAAGGAATACCTTAGACATGGTGGATAAAAATAGCATGATGGCCACACATACCAGATACCATGCCTGCATTTCTCACAGGAAATAAGACCCAAAATAGAACTGCTTCCTTTGATGAGAAAAATTTCATTGGGGAAAGGGGAGCACAGATTCTATAGGCTGCTAAATATGTCCTTTCTAAACAGTTGGTCAGAGCATAGATGAGGGGGGTGAGAATTTCTGTGATTTACTAATAGTCTATTTTGCCAAGAAAGGTCTTACGGTTTTCTCAGGAAAGCAATAATGGTTAGTGGCCTAGACTCAGTTATAATTGTATATGCTCTAATATTTTTGCATTTTTGTTGAATATCTTATTTTTGTATTGTGATTCAACACTGAACACAGTTTTTAATTTGTCATTTTTTTAATTTATCAGTGATGAGCCCACTGGACATTGGACAGAATCGTTAGTTATATTCTCTGGACCCCTTTGTTCTTATTAGGATTTTAGCAATCCCCCCTATCTCCCCAGAAGCCTCAGCAACTCTTTGCTAGCAAACTAGGTCATGTAAATTTTTAACAAAAAGGCTCTCCAAGGTAGATTTAGGACTTTGTGCCCAAGTCTTTGTATATGAGTCTCAAAAGAAGAGCCTTAAGCAAATTCTGACTTTTAAAAATAATCCTAAACATTTTTGTTGTTAAGGACCAGTTTTAAACTCTGTGTCTTTGAAGGGTCTAATTACTAGTTATTGTGTGTATTGGCTCTGTCGTTTTGATACAGAGAATGCACTTATAAATTCATTTAAGACCAGATTTAGGCTCTCTTCTCTGCTTTCATTTGGGAGACCATTATATTCAGCTCTTTTATAACTTACCTTTGTTTATCCTTGCTACCAATGATCTTCAAAAAGTGTTTTGCAGTGATGGTTATTAGCAGCAGCAATACATTTATTTATTATTTAGCATCGCTCTTTTCCAAATATTACACTAAACCAGGTATGTTGTAGAGATGAATAAGGAATGTGTTCATGCAGTTAGCTTTTGAAGACAATTAGCTAGTAAAAAAGACAAAATATTGACTATATACAGAACTGTGTGACCTCTAGGTTCTGAACTGAAACATTGGTAATATAGTTTGGAAGGCCATTTAAATCCCCTTACAGCTCATGATTAATGTCTTTATAGAATTCTGTATAGTTCTTTCATGTTTCTTTACATAAAAATTTGACAAAGATATACCTTACAATTTCCTTCAAAGATTAAAACTTACTGAAGTCTTTCTTTTTTTATAATAGCTTTGTTGAGGTATAATTGCCATATACTAAATTATGCATAAACTGAGTACAGTTTGATAATTTGTGATACTTCTATAGGCTTGTGAAACTATCACATAAGATAATCAGTACATCTGTGACAGCCAAGAGTCCTCAGAATTCTTTGTAATCCATCCCTACTGGCCTTTTTCAACCCACTCCTAGAATCTACTACTAGTTATTCTATGTAGATTATATAAATGGAGTCACCCAGTATGTACTCCTGTTGGTCTGACTTCTTTCACTCAGCTTATTTATTTTGAGATCCTTTGTATTATGTAGATCAGTAATTTATTCATTTTATTTCTGAGAAGCATTGGAAAATATTCTTAAAACATACTGACCAAACATTCTGACCTCAGTATTTAAAAAATTGTTCCAATAGATCTTTTTGCTTTTTAAGTCCTTAATCTTTAGAAAATAATGTTCATATTAAGTGAAACCCGAGCTCCAATTTTGTTACTTGTTAATTATAGTAAAATTAAGTTAGCCTTGATATAAAATTTTAAAAATGCTTGTTTTTATTTTTTATTTACTACTTCTTCAGCCTTTGTGTCACCTATCAGCATGTCAAATCACCCAAAAGCACATGGCAGATCCTCAGAAATACTCTGCTTTCTAACTTACAAAGTTGGGGAACCTAACATCATCAGGAAATGACTTTCCGTACCATCTATTTATATGTAAGAAAGCCTTTGGAGAGAACTTAGCAAACAAAATAACAAAAGTTATTTTCATCCTGTTATTCGTTAATTAGGTATCTGTTTTTTAGTTAGTATATACTTCCCTGCATCTACCCCGGTTGTCCCAGAAAACTGCCCTCTTTGGGTCAGCTAGGTCAAAAGTCCATAACCAAAAAGCCGCAGACAATTATATGTCCTAAGCAATAACTGTGATCTTATTTAAAATCAATCCAGCTAACTTGTTTTCATGTTAATTGCTCATTTACTTCTAACTTCACATCTCAACTATTAGTTTAAGGATAGAAATTGGACTTCCCCTTGTGGCTTGCTGATTGGATGTTGGATTTGTTTATTCCCTGATTTACTATCCCTCACCATTTTGAGTGAGAAAATAAGTCTGCAGTTTGAGTTTTATGCAGTCAAAACAGGCTCTGTCTCTCCCACCCGTCATTTGTACCAGCGAAGAGAGAGGAGGCCATGAAGTAGTTTTCAGGATTATAGCAAACCAGTTACCTGAAGTGGAACATAGAATAATATTCCCTTTTATTTTCAGATCACAGAATTTTCTGTGTCCAGGTTATAATATGTAACAGTCTAATTACTGAGTGATCATGCTATGCTTAGGACTTTCAGGCACTGTCCATGTTGTTACCTGTCTCTTTTCCTAGAATAGCTCCTTTTGACAGATCATCCCCATTCCCTATATAAATATGTATAAATAAGTCTTTCATTTTTCCTACCAGAGGACAAAATAGTATCTGGTAGCTTTGTGAATATGTATTCACCTTTCATATGACTATTTCTAAAAGTTGCTTTTCCTTTGCTTCCTCAAATTACAAATCATATAGTCCAGGACTCAGTGGACCTAATGGTTGTATTGAGAGGACTTTTTCTTATCTGAAATCTTCAGAGTATTTGTAGGATTCTTTCCACATATATTCCACTTTCTGATATTCCAACCGCCTAACCATTTAACTATTGGGCTCTATCATAATAGTTATTGTCAGTGGATAGTCTGTTTCTAGAGAACTGCCAGTCATGTACCTGTATTTCTGTTTTTCTGGAGATCTTGGTAGATATCTGCATTTCCACTCTCATTTCTCTTAATAAGAATGATAGTTCTACTAACGTATTTCCACCTGGCTTTTGAATAGAATTGCTAAAAATGACAATATCACCCACTTTGATTTGATCATCATAAGGGATGTCTAGTCCTTTTGTTACCTATTAACCTTTTGTGTGTGCCTGTAGTGGGGTATTAATAAGTCCCTTTTAAGCATGCGGGTGAGGACCCACAGCCAGGCAACCCGTTTTATATCGGGGCTGCTCCGTAACACTTTCTCTAAAAACTTTTCAAGTCATTTTATTAGTAGGCAGCGAGGGGTACAATGGGACCCCCAAACTTTCTCACTCTAAGTGGCCATCATAGTGTAAAAAAAAAAAAAAAGCACACTTAGTGTGGAAGAACTTTAACAGGATTAGTGTGCATGGAGAGAAAAAAAAAAGGATAATAATTTCACAACAAAACACCCAAAGTTACCCATCCCCTTTTGGATAACTGTCTAGCCAAAGAAGTTTGGCCAAAAGTGGCACCACAAAGGCCCAAAACCTTGCCACAAGTCTAAGGCACTTCTGGCAGGAAATCACAGGAAAGGAGCAAAAGAGGCCAGGCAAGTCTGGGATGAAAGGAGCAAAATCAGTGTACAAATCAAGGTAACAACAGCCATTATCAGCCTTCTCACGTGTCTCCTTCCAGTTCCCCCAAGTCCCTGGTCTAAGTCCACAACAGAGTAGGAAGGGCACCCTTCTTCTCCATGTGTCTTGTTCCATGTTTCCACTAGAGTCCGCCTGCCTTCTAAGTTAGACAGTTCCACCTGGCCACTCAGTTCCGCCCCCAGTTCTCAGTAGCTAGTCCAAAAGAACTGCATGTAAATGGGGCTGGGGGACATGGTACCTCCCCCTTTCATGGAGCTGCCTCTCTTATAATTTGACAAACCATGGGAAGTCTTACCTTCTTGTGTCCTAGAATATTTATATCCTCAGATTCTCTAACAGACATTTATAAAATGGGTCATTTTAAAATTCATTGTTTCCTATGAAATGACAAAAGGGAAAATTACATAAAAGTTAAATTTTCACTACCTTTTTAAGATCTAACTCTTTTTGTTGTGAATCCAAATTTTAAATTTAATCCAAACCCTTATGCTGTTTACATCTTCTGTATTATAAAAAGTCTCCTCATCCTGAATCATGCTTTTTGGTCTTTCTGTGATTGACATAAGTGAGTTTCTTGCAAGACAGATTTTGAATAAAAGTAGGAGACCTATGTAATGAACATAAACTGGATGGGATTTGGTTTCAAGAGACTATGGAGAAAATTTATTGTAGGCATTAAAACATATCCAAAACAGTGAATTGTGCCAGAATGAAGTTTCCTCAGTAGATGTGGTATATTCCATATTAACAACAGGTAATTCTTTTTTTGTTTTAAAAAAGGTAGTTAGAATATCCTTTTTTTTTTTCCCAAAGCTCATTCTTGGGAAAACAGCTCTGACTATATTAACAACATTATAGCCATATAGTGCCCTAAGCTTTAGCTACCATGACCTAATTTGTAATGTGAAAGCTTATGTTTTTTTTAAATTTTTTTTCTTTTTAGATCCATTTTTCCTGTGCACCCCTCCTTCAGAATCATTGCCTTGGCAGAGCCCCCAGTTATAGGAAGCACAACACAACAGTGGCTGGGACCAGAGTTCTTAACCATGTTCTTTTTCCATCACATAAAACCACTTGTGAAAAGTGAAGAAATCCAAGTAATTAAAGAAATGGTAAGCGTGAAGCCAGTTCTAGGCTGTTGCTTTTAGTTCTCTTTTTAAGACACTCTCATACCTGCTGGAGTAGTATTGGACATTTTTGGCTTTTTCTACCCACATTCTCCCAAATTCCTTTGTACTTCAACATTTTTCAGAATCATCTGGAGGCTTGGTAAAATACAGATTATTGAGTCAGTGGATCTGAGGTAATACATGAGAATTGGCATTTCTTAAGTTCTCAGATGCTGCTGATGCTGCTGGTCTGGGCACACTTTGAGAACCATGGATGTGAGCTCTCCCTTGTCTCCTTTTATGAAGGAAGTTTTGGGCTTCCTTTTCCTTTTTTATTTTCAGCCAAAGTTGACTATTTAAATTTTCTAATGTAATGGGAGTCCTTAGATTTTGTAGAAAATGCTAAGTAGTCCCGGCCTTTTCAGGACTGTAATTTATCGTCTACTTACCTGATGAGTTATCTGGTGGCTTACAGTTTTATGCAATCTAGCACATCTAGTGCATCAGTGTCTTCCTTAAAGAAACATGATGTGTAGCACTTTTGGAGTCCTAGAACTGTACTGTTCAACATAGTTGCACTAGCTACATGAAATACACTGTAAAAATTTCAGTTTCTCCAATCATATTTCAAGTTGTCATAGCCTTTAAGACTTTTTGCTACTTACTAGACAGCGGAAACAGAAGAACATTTCCATCAGCACAGAAATTTCTGTTGGGTAATGCTGTTCTAGATCACTAATAATTAACTTTGTACATAAATACACGCATTCCTTTGAAAATCCAGGTGAATTTCAGGTGTTTTTGTGAGCATGGATGTCAATTAGGAAATAGCCGTTAAAGTCAAAGTTCCAATCATTTAACTTCCAGAGATATCCTGAATAGTTTGCTCCTGAATTGGTCACATTTTACCATTTTTCTAAACATCTCTCTCTTTTTTTTTAAAGATTTATTTGTTTGTTTGTTTGTTTGTTTATTTATTTATTTATTTATTTATTTATAAAAGCACTGGGTACAGTCAGAAGCGCGGAAGGGTGAGAGAATTCCACCAGAGTCAGAGCAGAGAGCAGAGCAGGCAGACGGACAAAGTACACTGCTGAGGGGAATAGCGAGTGGCAGGAGAGGTCTGCGCGCCATGTGGGACCCTCACCCGGTGGCCGGGGATTGAACCGGTGCTGCAGAGGCTGCGGGCAGCTTTGCAACACAGCGCTCAACCGCTGCGCCACCGGGGAGGCCCAACATCTCTTATTTTTGTGTTAAAAATTTTAATATTGTTTCAGTAAGAATTTCTTATGATTCAATTTGATCAAATATTTAATTAGATTTAAATCGCTGTGGTTAAAGTCCATCAATGTGTGTTTTTGGGGCATCTGTTCTTCAGAGTTCATTGACATAAATTATCGTGACTCTGAGGAATGTAGTTTATGGGACTGATGCATTGCCCACTGTGCTAAGAAGGTGATAGGAATGGACATTTTGAGCATCTTTTTACAAGATGCAGTCCATCACTTAGACATTTATGTACAATTACTACTCAATGAAGGAATTTGGATTCAACAAAAAAAAAGCCAAAATTGGGTATTAAAAAAAATATTAAAGCTATCAAAAAAGGGAATGATAAAATATGAAAATTTTCTATACGTATACTATATGCCAGTTCTTAGTTGGAGGTAGAAATCAAAAGCTCCTTTCTAAAATTAGGGTTTTAAAAGGAATTACAAATAAGCAAGCTCCTTTCAGTTTTATCCTGATACTAGAATTGTAAATGGACAAGAGTGACTTGGTTTTTATTACTGATTCTTAAAGAGAAAACAAAGGCTGCTTAAGTATTTCCTGAGAAGATGAATAAGCAAATTTATCCATGAGATAAACATGTTACCTTTAATTAGGGACTTTCTAAAAATGTAACTATAATGTTGTTTGCTAACTAGCCATATATTGATCAGATATCCTAATTTATTCTTTGTTTTTCCTCAATTCTCTCATAAAATAGGTTCCAAATATACCTCAGGAAGCTTTGGACAAATTGTTGTCATTTACACACAGTCTCAGAGAGACACAAGATCCCACGGTAAGTCTGAGCTTCTTACCATAGAATTTTCTGTTATTGATGTTATGTTGCTTTATGTTCTTATAATTCACTGTTTTAAAATGTATTTTTTAAGCTGGTATTTTTATTCCGCATGCTACACTTTGTCCTGTGCATATATTTTACTCTATCCATGTTTTCAACATTCCACTTCCTTGTGACTAGTATCATAAAAGACAACTTCTAGATCTAGAGGAGACTATGTTGTTTTGGGGGCTTATCTCAGGCTCCCTTGCCTCCCATGCCTCCCATCCCATCTCACCTATTTGTAGAGCTTCAAGTATCAGTTCTATGTCAATGCTTGTATCTTTATCTTCAGCTTCTAAACTCTCTTTTCTCATTCACTCTCTATTTTCAATCTTATTTCCATTCTGAGATGGTATGTTGGAAAGATAAAGGGTTGTCACTGTCTAACTCTGTGAGAGTCGTTATTCTCACCTGTCAAATGCAAAGTTCCAGCTACTTCATGAAGAGGTTGTGATGATTAAACATAAAAATGTATGTGAAGAATCTCCTACTTGTTAACTATTTAATAAATGTTTCTTTCAGTTCCTAACTAAATACTCTTGGATCACTGTAATTTCAACCTGTCTTTGAAAACTAAATTGTCCTTGTGATTTAAATCTATTCCTATTCCTCATTTAATTTTCTGACTTGATTAATGATCTATCTAACAAATTACTTGAGTTAGAAACCTTGACATCATTGTAGATTTTGTTTACTACTATCTCCTCTTAACCTGAAAGCAAATCTTATCAATTTAGGCTCTTGACATATTATCTGTTCTCTTATCTGTTGTCAGTAATTATCTTAATATTAGATTTCATAATCTTTGTCCTGGAATATTGTTGTTTCCTCTTGACTGCCCTCTTCATCAATAATTCATTCCTCTTATGGTCCTGTATTACTTTCCTGTGACAATTGTAGCAAATTACTGTAAGTGATGGTTTATGACAACAGGAATTTATTTTTGCACAGTTTGGATGCCAGAATTTTGGAATGGGTATCAGTGAGCTGAAATCAAGATGTCAGCAGAGTTGGACTTCCTCAGAAGCTTGAGAGGAGAAATTTTTCTTGCCTCTACCAGATTCTAGTGACTACCATCATTTCTTGACTTGTGACCTTGTCACTGTAGTCTATGCCTCCATCTTCATATCACTTTCTGTGTGTCTGTGTCAGATCACCTTGCCTCCCTCTTACAGGAATACATGTGACTGCATTTAGGGACCTCCTAATAATCTAGTATGTAATCTCTTCTCAAACTCTTAATCTGCACTATCAGTTTTGCCATACAAAGTGGAATTTATATGGTCTTTCAATCAGATTTTAGTGCAGGGATGACAGGGGTTTTTTGTTTTGGTCTCTGCCATATCCCTAGCATCTGGAACATTGCATGCTGCATAGTAGATATTCAACAGATATATGTTAAATAAATGAATGGCTGAATCTTCTATATTGTCTTTTCCCAAATCTATTTCCTGAGTTCTCCCCCATCTTTAAAATGTGAAAAGATAGATTGTCCTTACCTGTAGACTGAAGGACAGCCCGCTAAGCCTACCAGTTCCATCTGACCCTAGCTGTTTTTCTAGCCTCATTTACTACAGCTTCTTTTAAAGCACCCTCAGCTCTTTGCTTCTTGATAAGTTCTAAGCCCAGCATATACCTAAATGTCTCTTGCTTTATGTCATGCCTGAAATGTGCTTTCTTCCTATCCACTTATCCCCAGATCCCCTGTTCTGTCAGGTATCTCTCAGCCCCCTTAGAAAGAAATAAGTCTCTCGGCCTCCCCTGGTGGCGCAGCGGTTGAGCGCTGGGTTGTGAAGCTGCCCGCAGCCTCTGCAGCGCTGGTTCGATCCCCGGCTGCTCCCCGGCCACCGGAGGAGGGTCCCGCATGGCGCGCAGACCTCTCCTGCCGCCCGCTGCTCCCCTCAGCAGTGTACTTCGGTCCTTCTGCCTGCTCTGCTCCCTGCTCTGGCTCTGGTGAATTCTCTCACCCTCCCGCGCTTCTGACTGTACCCAGTGCTTGTAAAATAAATAAATAAATCTTAAAAAAAAAAAAACAAACAAACAAAAAAAAAAGAAATAAGTCTCTCTAATCTGCTGTCATGACACTTGGCATATACTTTTGATTTTGTCTGTTGCATTTGTACCACAATATATTTTATCTCCCCTATAGTTCGAATTGGGAACCCTTGAACTTACCAGCCAGCTGTACACTATGTTCAAGGCATTGCTAGCTTGTAATCTGAATGATGTAGGTTAACTTGAGTGCCTCCATCCAAAATTGTAATCTCTCTCTAGGAGATCACATGTACATTTGGGATTGTAATTCTTATGAGAAGTCTGGACAAATATAAGGATTATTTGAACTCCTTGAGTCATATCTTGTTCATTTTTTATTCCCATTTCCCAGTCCAGTGTCTGGCATATAGTAGACAATAAATGTTAAATGAATGAGATGATTAATTACTAATTTATTAACAGATCATCCCTAAGGTTTTCTGTTCCTGAAAATATGTTACATTTTCATTAGAAATAATTCTTTAGGGCCTCCTTGGTGGCTCAAGGGATTGAGCGCAACGCTATGAAGCTGTCCGCAGCCACTGCAGCGCTGATCCCCGGCCAGGAAGCTACCCACATGGCACAGCAGACCTCTCCTGACTTGCCCACTGCTCCTCTCAGCAGTGTACTTAGGTCTCTCTGCCTTTTCTGTTCCCCACTCTGTCTCTGGTGAATCCTTTAACCTCCCACACCTCTGGCCTGTACCTCAGTTCTTGTAATCATAAATAAATCTTTCAAAAAAAAAAGAATTCTTTAAAACAGAAAAATTTTAACAATTTCATCAGAACCTTGGTATTTTGAAGCTGACATACTATTATTAATCATGCTAATATGAAAAACCCATGAGGTATGCTTTTAAACTGGATAACCATGGTAACTAAGGGAATGTGCTCACATCATCACCATTTTCTTGCAAAATAAAACTTCAATTAAAAATTGATGTTACAGGGCCTCCCCGGTGGCGCAGCGGTTGAGCGCTGGGTTGCGAAGCTGCCGGCGACCTCTGCGGCGCTGGTTCGATCCCCGGCTGCTCCCCGGTCACCAGAGGAGGGTCCCACATGGCGCGCAGACCTCTCCTGCTGCCCGCTGCTCTCCTCAGCAGTGTGCTTCGTTTGTCTGCCTGCTCTGCTCCCCGCTCTGGCTCTGGTGAATTCTCTCACCCTCCCGCGCTTCTGACTGTACCCAGTGCATGTATAAACAAAAACGAACGAACAAACAAACAAACAAACAAATAAATAAATAAAACATGCCTCTATAAAAAAAAAAAATTGATGTTACAAATGTTAAGTACATTTTAGGAATTTTAAAATTAAAGTTTGCTATTCATTTTTAATTTATAATACTATGAGAATTGAGAAACCAAACCTTTCACTCAACACTTAAATGGCCCAATGGGTTATTTCTGATTTTTTATTTTATTTTAAGATTTATTTATACAGGAAAAACATGGAGGCCCTGATTTTTTATTTTACACTGGATATTATTTCAGAATATTTTGGTGTTCCTGACTAAGACAGTTGGTGTTTTTCAAATTCATGAGAATTTCTTACTGATAATTGAAATGAAATGGGAAGCCTGAATCTAGTGCAGTGAATTAGAATGAGATTAGAATGTTGTGCTTTTGAGCCCTTCTCTCCATTCCTGTTGTCAGTAACTTTGCTGGAGGACTTTACCTCTTGATAGGAAGATCATTGAAATAGCTTTGCTTCTTGTCTCACTTCTTAATGTTCTTTAACTATTTTACAGACTGTTGTCAGATTAATTCTTCTAAAATCATGTTACTACTTTGCACATAATAAAGTTCTGTCACCTTCAGGCGTAGGGCCACATTCCTCAAAGTGTCAGTTACAGGTCTTTTTTATTTGGGAACAGGCTTTCCAGTAGGACCCTCCAGTAAAACTTGATTGGTTTCCTTATGTTCTGCATGAATTTCTTTTCCTTTTGCTTTCGTACCTTTGTTCATAGCATTTCTCATGCTCATTTGAACATTTTATTTTTTATTTTTTTTTAAAGATTTATTTATTTTTTTATTTATACAATAGCTGGGATACAGGCCAAAGGTGTGAGAGGGTGAGAGGATTCACCAGAGACAGAGTGGAGAGCAGAACAGGCAAATTGACCAAAGTACACTGCTGAGGGGAGCAACGGGCGAGAGAGGAGAGGTCTGCCGTGCCATGTGGGAATCGCCCTGGCCAGCCAGGAATCGAACCCGCACTGCAGAAGCTGCAGACAGCTTCACAGTGCTGAGCTCAACCCCCTGCGCCACTGGGGAGACCCTCACTTGAACATTTTAAAACCCTATAGCAATTGTCAACTGTTCCACTTATTTTGGCATTGAATTATATTCTATTTTGAATCTCAATTTATGCATCCTTATATTTAAATATTGTCTCTATGTCTAGAATGCAAATTTGTTGAAGGATGAAACAAATGTTTGCTTATAAATGAGTTCTTTGAAACTTAAAAGTATTTTTAATAGAAAAAAAGATGTCATAAATATTTGTCATGCTCCTAACCTAGCTCCCAGAGGACTGTATATTTCATGTTGCTGAAATATGCTAATAACAGCAGATCAACATCACATGGAGTTGCAAAATAAACTAAGAGTGAATCATTTCAGTTTTATCTTCCTCAGGACATACAGAGATGACCTTAAGTGAAAACTTAAAAATAAGAAAATACGCAGTGTGTATTTGGCATCCTCCCATTCATTCTGAACACTTTATTCATAGAGTCCCCTTCTCTTTACCATTACATTATGTTGCCTGCCAAGATCATTTCAAATTCAAGTCAACAAATATGTATTGGTACTTAGCATGCCCTGAGTTATTTACTAGCAGTTCTACTAATGGGATTTGGGAACTACAAGAAAACAAAATGAAATTACTCTGACAGTATATGGGAAGGATTCCAAACAGAAAGCTGCTATTCAAGTGACAAAGTAGTTCACATCTCTGTCATCAGCAGTTTAAATTATCAGTAACTCCTTTCCTGTATTATTCGGAAGCCATATATTAATTATGGCTCTAAGCATTTTCAGGATACCTTTATAGATTGGCTTTCCATAAGCAGAAAATTATGAGCAAATAGTTAAATGTACACATTTGTAAGTCATGTGTGACCCGTGTTATATGACATCTTTCCTTCATTCTTCCTCTCCCCCTTTCCAAAATATCATTTATACACAGCACTTGGCATAGCACTTTAATTAAATTTATTCATAAACACTTCTTATAGATTGTTTAAAAAAAAATCTTCAAAGACGTTTAAGTATAAATTGATTTCTGTTGATTTGTATTTATAATTTATTAACAGTACATATTTAAGTTTGGTCTTGTCCTTCAGAAATAATGAATTTCTGCTATGGTACCCATGTAAAGGGATTTTCAACAAGTTGAAACAAGATGCTTAACAGCCTATCTTTGCCTTTTTGATAGGCTCAGTCTTTGGCATCATCACTTTCGACCAGACAACTATTGCGGATCTCTCGTCGACTGTCACAATACCCCAATGAAAATCTTCACAGTGCTGTTAATAAAGCCTGCCTTTCCAGGTAATCATATTCTCCTTTCTCACAGAATTCATAATAGAAATTTAACTGAAAGGCTGAATTCACAGGTCTGCAAAAATTATAGGTCTGGATATTAGCTCTTTCAACCTTGCATTCAGTTTTAAAACATATTTAAGCATAGCAACAAAATCCAGAGGTGTTTTGTAGATGAGAAAACTAAGTCATTTACTTAGTTTCACTAAGTCACATAGTGGTAAATAAGTAAAAGTGGGTTTGGGATTTCCACACTGGTTTCTCTGTCGTCTGAGCTAGCTCTTTGCACTACTCTAATACCTCCCAAACTCAAATTGAAACTTTCCAGGTTGACCATGCTGCTGTGCTGCTCAATTAACAAAACTAATGTCTTTTCAGTCTACACTTAATATTTTTCAAACCTAGTTGGAAGCGGTTATAATACATTTGCTTACAGAATTTTCATACAGAATCTCACAGTTGCATGAAAGTATTTTAAGGAATTATAAGAAAAGATTAAGAGCAGTGCCCAGTAGATTCAGTCAATAGATGCTTTTGGACTCTTTTCATAGAACCTAGGATTTTTTTATGATGGTTATGACTATTGTCCATTCATTCCTTGATATATAAAAGGAATTAAAAGAGAATCTCCTTTAAGTTTAGGAGAATGTGTAATGACCCCTCATATATCTTCAGTTTTATGGACAAGTTTTTCTTGTAATTAAGTTCTTTGTGTTAGAACTTGAATTTATTTTTTCTGTGGTATATTCAGCTAAAATAAGCCTTTCTCAAAGAGTAATTTTTAAAATAACTTTTAATTATAAGAAATAATGAAATTTATTTTCTTTTGATTAAAACAATATTAGACTTCTGAATAAAGATTAGGAAAAAAATGCTTTCTTATTTTCAGGGTTATGAGCTGAAGGAAATATAGACAGAGATAGATTCATTACCTATTCAGTATTTATCAGAATTTAGTTATTAATGAGTGTTTATGGAAGTAAATAGTCAATGCTAAACAATATAAACAGTGTTGGAACCTAAGGGAAAATAATAACTGGATATATTAGAGTGAAACAATTATACCCAAAGTATTCTGCAGAACTTTATATATGACCTTGTAAGTAATTTCAATTTGCTTAAAAAAATTTTAAAATATTATATAAATTAACTTAAAAAATAACCAGATCATAAGTTTGGAGAACAAATACGTATTTCACTATTGCTGCAAAACTATAGAAAAAGTGAACAATTTGGAAGGCAGCAAATATTAAAATTGACAACTTCAGATTAACAACAATTTATTTGCACTCTATAGTTTTGTTCAAGTATGCACATAAAAATTTTGGGTAGGGCCTCTCCGGTGGCGCAGCGGTGGAGCGCTGGGTAGCGAAGCTGTCCGCAGTCTCTGCAGCGCTAGTTTGATCCCTGGCTGCTCCCCAGCCACTGGAGGAGGATCCCACACATGCGCAGACCTCTCCTGCCGCCCGCTGCTCTCCTCAGCAGTGTACTTCGATCCTTCTGCCTGTTCTGCTCCCTGCTCTGGCTCTGGTGAATTCTCTCGCCCTCCCGCGCTTCTGACTGTACCCAGTGCTTGTATAAATAAATAAATAAATCTTTAAAAAAATTTGGGGTAACCACCAAAAAGAATGGCAATAGACTGAAGAAGGAAAATCAAGAAAAGACAACATAGGTAGACATGGAAGGGGAAAAAGGGTGCACTTAATGTAGCATATCAAGTGTTTTTTTTTTTTAAACCTTAAATTCACTTATTAGAAAAGAATAGGAAAAAAAATGAGCTAAGCACTCAACTTAATAAGTAAACCCAAAGTAAATGGAAAAACTGTAATATTGGGCACAAATTAATGAAATACAAAAGAATTAACCATAGAAAAGATTAGCATTTATATACCCACAAACATACACACAATCTGTGTTTTGACCTCTTCATATCACCTCAGAGATAACCTTATGCATGTAAGGAGACAGGTAGAAGAATGTTCATTGCGTCATTGTTTGAAAGGATAAAACATTGAAATAACGTATCTGTCCAGCAATTGGGGAATGAATATATATATATATATATATATATATATAAATTGACATATTCATGTAATGAAATACTATATAGCAATTAAAATGAAGTAGATCTACATGTATCAACAGGTACGGATCATGACAATATTGAGTGAAAAAAGTAGTTTGCAAGAGATTTGATGTATGATACCATTTACATAAAATAGAAAATGCAATGTATTATATTAATCATGCATATGTGCCAAATTAAAATATGGACAGGAAAGATCATCATAAATATCAGGGTGAAAGTTATCTCCAAGTACAGAATGATTAATATTCTTTGTAATTTTCTGTATGGTTGAAATTTAAAAATTAAAAACAAAAAAAAATATACACTTTTCAGGGTTATCAACTAACCACAATAAAATTGTATTTGTACCATCCTTACCAAATAGTAAAACAGCTCTCTTGTTTATGTACGATCTGTTTACTTTAGCAAGGCTGAATCCAAAGCCTTGTACTAACCTTCTTTTCAGGATAGCACAGTAGCAGGAAGAAATAAAAAATTACTGCTGCATAAATTTTTTTTAAATGACCTCATTCCATGTTGAATCAATGAAAATAACTTAGTTTCATAGAAAGTTTCAAAATAGAAATTGACTTTATATTCATGAAGTCTGTTATTAAACAGCCAAAATCAAAAGGAACTCTCTAGCCTAAATTTCTTAAACATTAAGTTGGTTAATATTAACTAAATCTTTTTTTATCTTATTAATTTAATTGTTTAAACATCTATTTGTTTATTCCAGTTAAGACTGGAAATTTTCTTTATCTGTGGGAATTACTCTCTAAATACCTCACCTTCATAACCTATAATATGTACATCATGTTTTGAACCTAGATACATAATTCACTTTCTAGATATTTGAAAACCTTGTATTAAGAAGTCAAAAGGCAGAAAGTTTAGAAGACTGCAAAGTTGTCAGATATTTTGCATTCCAGAAAAATTTTGTTAAAGTAATTATAAGTCCCATTTTGGTATCTGATATTCCATTAAATTATTAACTTATGAAAAGTCTTGGATTGATGATCCTTTATCATATAAATTTTAGGCAGAGCTATAAGAATTTAGCTGGATGTGAATACCTGTCTTTGAAGCAATATGGAAATGTTTCCACTTACTGAAAACTTAGTAAGCATAAAATATTTTTAAAATTTACTTTATGAGGGCCTCCCCGGTGGTGCAGCAGTTGAGCGCTGGGTTGCAAAGCTGCCCGTAGCCTCTGCAGCACAGGTTCGATCCCTGGCCACCGGGCGAGGGTCCCACATGGCGTGCAGACCTCTCCTACTGCCCGCTGCTCCCCTCAGCAGTGTATTTCAGTCCTTCTGCCTGCTCTGCTCTCCCCTCTGGCTCTGGTGAATTCTCTCACCCTCCCACGCTTCTGACTGCACCCAGTGCTTGTATAAATAAATCTTGAAAAAAAAATATTTACCTTATGAAATAAAATGAGTAGCTCCATATGATATTAGCTAATTTTTAAAAAATCATAAACCTGATAGAACATATCATATACAGTCTTAAATGATTATAATGATGTTGTTGATGTGAATTTTTTGTTGTCCTGAGGTTGATTTTGCTTGCAGGAGAGAATATTGGCTTTAAAAATGCTTTTCAATTTTTAATGCAATAATTTCAAAAATCTAGACTTCTTTAATTTTTTTTTTCCTATTATTTTACTTAGTCTGTAAGTCCAGCAAATTTAATTACTTTTATGGGCCTTTGAAAAATGTTTGGTTTAATTTATAAAACTTGACTAAATTAAATATCTTCAAATATCGAAATTTGTTAATATACTTTATCTCTTCTATTTCCTTTTAATTCCTTCAAATGTCTGAATTAACAAAACTTTCCTGAGAAATGAAATAACTCAAAATATAAGAAATCAAATTTCTAAGTAGGATGTACCAAACTAGCTTAAATAGTCCAATGTTCTTTGTAAATTGAAGATTTAAAATCACAGGTATAAAGGGATTAATATAATTGCACATGTTAAATAGAACTCCAAGATTCCCTGATATCCACAGAATCCCTCAGTCTCTTTCTCTGACTTTTACTACTAACACTTCTCCCCTCTGGCTATTAATTTGGGATTATCTCTTATCCTTATTCTATGTTTTCAGGGTATTATCTTGAGAAGTCCTATCTATTTCTTAATCTAAAGACACAGTTATGGTTTGAATTAGCCTACTTTTACTGCTTCTGTGTTTTCCAGAATGCAGTTAACTTTTAGTTTTTCTCATAACCAGGATCTGCAGAGACTAGGGACTGATCTGTTCTTTTTTTTTTTTTTTTTTTTCCTGGTAGCAAATGAAGACAATGAGTATAAAAGTTTTTAAAAAACATTACAGTGTTCATATGGTGATAAATGCACTTGAAACTTTGAAACAGAATATGTGCTAGCTTTGGTTATAGGAAGGTAGGATAGACAGGTGTTTCATTCATTCTTTTTTTACTAAATGCTAGAAAAGGAGATGAAAAGATCAAGTTGAAAGTTTTAGTGAGCAGCAAGAAAGGAAACAGTTAAACTGAGGAACAAAGTCCCTTGAAACTGAGGAACAAAGTAAAGGTTGACCTCACACCATATCACATGCTTTATTCCCCTCATGTTGGGTGGAATATTATTTCTGAGCATGTGTTCTATATGTAAATTCATTTAAACGTTGATGCTACCACTGATGATTTCTAGAACTGTTAAGGTGTGTGGTTGAAAATAATTCTGAAACATGTTCAATTTCAGCAGGAAGAGTATCATATTGGCAAGCAATGGTTGTCATTGCTATGGAAAGGGAGGCTATCCTCTATAGCCCTTGGAAAATAATCTAGATTGTTCCAATTCAGGGACAATGTGAGGATGTGTTGTTACATAAAAAACTATATTGATGTCAGGGATTTCTGGAAATTGCAAACAATCTAAGCTCAAATGTGGTGAATCAGGGTTATCTGAAAAAAGTAGTGGAGCTGGAGCTGCAGGGCCTAATGTTACCAGAACATAGTCTGTTTCATGAGATAGTCATGAGAAGAAGGGTGAAGAGGGTACCATGATAAGGGCTCAGAAAACCAAATTGAAAGCTCAGTTATTGGATGTGGGAGATAAGGTATGGGCTTGATTTTGCAAGACAAGGCAATAATCCAAAAAAAGGTAAAAAGTCAGAGATGAACAACAGTCTGATTCCATGCTGAACTGATGATGCTGGCTTAGAACTATATACAGCCCCCTATGGTAGCCTAGAACCAAAGTGAGGCAGTAGGTGGGATACAATGTCAGATACAGGTTGGAAAAATACAGACAAGAAATCTGACAGTTCTTTACAGTTAACCCATTTGAACTTCTCGAGATCACTCTCTTTTATTAGCTTATATGCAAGGCTTTGGGAAAGTACCATCAAAGGTTTAGAGATACAGAAAACCTAACTTTAAAGTGGTATGTTCCCAATATGTTCATTTGGAATATTATGGCACATAGTTATTATATTATAGTACAGGTAATGATGCATGAAAAAGTATTTCTATGGACCTGTTTGGGATCTTAAGCTCCAGATATTTAAATATGTGTATGGATGGGAAATTCTCTTTTTGTATTCTATTTGTGGTTAAAAAAAATACCTCTGTTACTCAAAAGATTATTTTAACAACATACATAAAGAATAGATAAGCAAGTATAGTTTTAAAAAAGAATCACGAAGCTGCATAATCTTAAATTCACTTATTAATAATCTGCCTCTACTAATTTGAATTTTTTGTGATTGCCAGACAAAGCATGTTAAAGTGTTATTATTTTATCTGTTTAGGAAAATTTTATTAGCAGCCAGATGGTAAAGAATATTTGTGAGATATACTAAATCATTTTTAAAAATTATTTTTAAGTCTTGTCCTGCAAAATGTCTATAAATAAATACTAATTTCAAATCAGTTTTACTTTTTAAAGGATTTACGTTAATTGATTTTTAGATTTTGAACCATCTTGTGTCCCTGGAATAAATCCCACTTGATTTTGGTGTATAATCCTTTTAATGCATTATCAGATTCAGTTTGCTAAGATTTTATTGAGGATTTTAGCATTCGTGTTCACTAGGGAGATTGGCCTGTAGTTTTCTTTTCTTGTGTTGTCTTTGTTTGGTTTTGGTATTAGTGTGATTTTGGCCTTGTGAAATATATTTGGTAATATTCCTCCTTTCTCAGTTTTTGAGAGAGTCTTTGCAGGATAGATATTAGTTCATCTTTGAACATTTGGTAGAACTTGTTTGAAACCATCTGGTCCTGGGCTTTTGTTTTTTTAGTAGGGTTTCGTTTACTGTTTCAGTTGCATTGTTGGTAATTGGTTTGTTCAAGTTTTCTATAAACTCAAAATATATTTTCTTCATCTTCACATGTACTTAAAGCTACTTAAAGTTTATATTCTAATTTTTTTTATGATTTCACAAACCAAGATCAATCTTCTTAATTGGTTGTCATTTGTGTGTGTTTTTGTGTGTGTGTGCATGTGCATGTGTGTTTATGTCAAAGATATTTAGCAATCACAGAAAGCTTTCATTTTATCATTCTGTTCTTTCCATCCCACCTCACCCCAGGTTTTTACCAACCCTTGCAAGGTCAGCCTTAGAAAAAAATCTGGCAGATGCTGCAATAGAAATAAACACTGATAATACTCTGCAATCAGATCTAAAGGATTACAAATGTAAGTATTTGATTTGCTTTTCTTAAAAGTGAAATAGTAATCATCAAACATTTGTATATGACATTTTTAATTTCAGTGAAAAATGGGTTTGTATTCTATCCTTTTTGTTTACTATATTGGATTGAAGAAATGAATCTTTTGTTATAAAAATGTTTAAAGCCCACTTACAAGTTAAACCTTAGAATATTTGCTTTACTTCAATACACATCAGATATGGGTCCTCCCCACCAAGAGTCAAAATTAACAAGAAGCTGTTAAAGGCTCTGAGAATTCCTGATGTAAACAAACTTGTGTGATTTTGTTTTACCTTTTTTTCCAAATATATTTTACCATAGAATTTGGAATTCTGTTTTCTTTGCACAACCTTTACATTTTGTGACCATCAAGGTCCTATGAGACCTGTTTGGGAAACAGTTCAAAGTTAATATAGTCTAAAATAATATTCAGAGAACCATTTCATGCCATCTTACTTCTTCCATTTCCATCTGTATTGTCTCTTGTGGTTATTTTCTCCTGGGTAACTATAAGTGTAATTTTGAGTTTAGGGAGTCTTAACTTTTCCTATGAAAGTTCTCAATTCTTCAATGAGAATACAGTGAAAGTCCCTCTGTTTTATGAAATAATTACCTGTTCTTTCAAAACAGCCAATGCATGACTACCCTCTAAAAAGGGACAATTGTAACTATCTTTGGAGTAGGTGTTTTTTAATAATTGGAGCTATGCTGAGATAAGAATTTGGAATTAAGGAAATAGATTAATTTTTAAGGGTAAAATTATAAATTCAACCTACTGATGAGGCTGGGTAGAGATAAGCAGTTGTGATGACAGAATTAGGTTTTCAGCTTCCCTTGAAAATTTACTGTAATAATGCAGTCCTTTGAGATTTCTTAGAAAATAGCTAATCAGCTCTCTCCCAGAGAAGTACTAGCATCACTATCACTATTCTCTCAGTGCACTTCCCTTTCTGAGTTTGAAATTTTAACAGTAAACATTGGTTGAGTGAATTATCCTGAAGCCCTGAATCTACTCAACAAATGGTTCCATAAATGAAACTGTGAACAGAATCAGATGCTGTTTGAACCTGAAATGTCAGCATACACATATCTGTAAATTCACTACCACAGCCCTGGTCTTCCCCTTTATGGTTTTATATTGGGCTATTTCAAAGTAAATAAATAATAAATCTCAGCTTGACAGCCATGGTTTTCCTTCCCATGGAATTGTGAATAAAAACAAAATGGCATGAGTCTTTTGAAGGGGAGACATTACTGTTAAGATCAGCTGTGCTTTGACAATTGTGTAACACCCTGAAGTGGTTAAACAGGGTGACAATTTATTTCTGGTTCAAAATTGTTCATAGTACCCCATAGGTATAATGTTACTCTCCCCCTTGTCTTTCAAAATGCTTTCAAAATAGAAAATTTCTTTTGAAGTAGGGGAAAATTAGGTGAATTCTTCAAGGTATTATGAATGCCTATCTGCTTTCCAGGGTATTTCCACAGGATGGAATATTATTTGGAAACAAGGGATTGAACATACTCTATATGGTAGAAAGAACATCATTCTATATTATTTTTAGCTCTGCCCATACTAGCTGGGTGATTTTAAGCAAAATACTTTATGTTCTTCTTAACTTCCTCATAATTCTTATCTCATTGTTAAGAGAAATTATATGAGATAACATGAAATTATATGAGATAACAAGGAAATGAAGCTCCTAGTTTGAGATCTGGCACATAGAAAGTACTCAATAAATGATAGCTTCTGTTGTAACTGTCAGAAATACAATTCCTAATGAATATTATTATTGACCTTGGAATGTCAGACAGTGGAACATCATTATTGCAGGGTACACATGATAGATATATTCTCTGACTTCAAGGGAAAAAGAAATTTTTTTAGTTTCCTAGCTTCAAGGAGCTCATACTCTATTCTCGATCAATTATATTTAAAGCAAATACAATAAAATAATAATTACCACAGTATAGTAGTGTAGCATCTGAGGTGCTTATTTGAAAATACAGATCTCCTGGATGTTGCTGTTAATGCAAAAGATCTGTATTTTTTTATTAGAGTTCTAGGGCTTCCTTGCGGGGGGATTTCACTGAGTGGGTCCTAAAAAATACATTCAAAGAACTTCAGAGCTTTTGAATGTTTATTTGGCTTCTGTATATGTTATAGTCTCTAACCAAATATGCTTATGATTGTGGCTTGACTGAGTTTTGTGTTATTTTTCCCCCCTCTCAATTTTGTCTATATGTTGTGTACTATATACATTGTTTTGTTTTTAAAAATATTACATTTTGGAACATTTTAAGCTACATTTGTAGGGTTTTAAGCTTTTTATGTGGATTGATGGTGTTTTATAACTATCTTCAAGCTTTAATTAAAATTCCTCACAGAGGCCATAAGATAGTAAAGATACTATATTGAATTCTATGGAGTCTGCTCTTAACCTCTCTGAGAAGAATGCTATGAGTAATTACCTGTCATGTGTGAAATGTTTAGGTGAAGTGGCATCTGGGTTTCTGAAGATTGGATCTGTGAGAGCACCCATCTATAATGCCCATGAAAAAATGAAAGTGCCTGATGTTCTATTCTATGACAACGTCCAGGTAAGATCATTTGCCTTGCTTTGCATTCATGGATAAATCACTTGCATTATGGTAGTTGGTTCTGATTCAAACTTAACCATTTTTTGTAATGTGCTCAGTTTGATTCAGATGATACAAAATGAGATCTTGTAACATTTCTCAGTAAGGCATTGTAAAATTTAAAGTTCTTTCCAAAGATACTTGAAAATTGGAAGAATTGCTCCTGTTGTAAGAGTAATAAATTTCGTATGTGCATATATGCTATACTTCAGGTAAATAAAATTAATATATTATTAAATTTAAAGCAAAGTAGAACTAATATTCGTTCTCTCTTTTGCTTTCCTCTTAAATGTTCTCAGTTGTTCAAAGAGAATTAGATTCTATGCACTCCTTCCCTCATATTCCTTTCCTTTTCTGCAAATTCCTAGTATTTTTCTATTCTTTTCTTTCCATACTTTTAAGGGAAGTAATAGATAATTTCCCAGTTGTAAACTAACCAGTAATTATAAACCTCCCACTAGGACACAGAAATTAGTGTGTACCCAGAAGCTCTGTTGTAGATGTTCACTTTAATAAGAATATTTTTCAGAGAAAATTACCCGTAATATAAAGAATTTTTCTCAAATTTTCTGTTAAGTGGTTATACATTTTATAAAAAACACACCCAAATTGTTCTGTAATGTTTGGTCACTAATCTGCATATAAGTAATAACTGTGGGAGCTGAATGGAGAGGACACAGTGCAGCGTGATTTAGGTCAGGTCAGTGGACCTTTGTCTTAATTGAAAGAAGACTCTTTTAGGGAGCATGTAATTTGGTAGAAAAGTAAACAGAAATTTTAAACTGTGCCCATGACAATGTAGAAGAAGGACAGTGGTAGGAGATGAGGCCGAGACTAAATCAATAAGAAAGAGAGTAACCTTTGCTCCTAAGGTATTAGAAGTTGTTTAAGGCATTTTGAAGTGACATGATTTGAACAACAAAATGACTGTCATTATTGTAAGAGAGCACATTGACTGAAGTTAGAGAAGCAAAATTGACTGATAAAAATCTAGGCCAGAGATGATAATAACCTGAATAAAAGCTGTGGAGATAGAAAAAGTTACATATCATGACTTTTGAGTGACTCACTTAGATGTGGTGTTTAATTGGATCATGGTAAGGATGAGTGAGATGTACTGGAGGATACTGATGACAGGGATTTAGTCAGGTGGTAGAAAATGATGCTATTAATCAGAATAAAATATACAGGACAAAAATGAAGTTAAGAAGAAAGTAATGAGCCAAACTTTGGATAAGTTGAATTTGAGGGGACTGGGAAATAGCTACATAATTTGATAGTTACTCAAATACGGGGCTGGAGTTGAAAAGTTTTGCTGCTGAAGATCAATGGAGAGTTGGTAGTTAAAGCGATGGAAGGAATGAGAGGATTTAGGGAGAGCAGGATCAGAGGTAGCTCTTCAGCACTAACATGTGGGTACCCAACTCTACATGCAGCCCTCCTTTGCCCCTCAAATGGGGATAAGTCAGCACAAGATGCTCTGGCTATTCTGTCCCTTAACTCCTCTCCTCTTCCAGGAAAGCACATGAGAAGGTAGTGAGAGAGAAGAAATGAAGAAACATGGGGAAAATTAGTACTTAAGTGATGGCTGAAATGAGATGATCCAACCCAGAATGCTGTGGAGAGACGTTGTTAGAGAGATAGAAAGGAAGCAGGAGAGACTGCCAACTTGGAAAGGAAACTTAGGAAATTGTTTGCAATAGTAAGTGGACCTTGAGATTAAGACAATTATGTAGTCTTAGCTAATGTTTGCTGATTTGAGTAATCTGGTTCATTGTCTTGAAGGCAAGAAGTAGGCGGGTATTAGAAAAATTAAGAGCACAAAAACAGATTGAATTACTTTTCAGTATTTACATTGCTTTTTTAAATCTGGATTATGAAGGTGCTCACTCCAACTTTTCCATCTATTCCTCATGCAAATTAGCCTATTTTTTAGTGGAGTAACTTAATGTTGTCTGGTAATTGGCACTGACTTTTCACCTCAGTCAAAGGAAGAGGTCTCCATACCATATTATCATTAGAACCCAGATTAAAAGGTTTTCTAGGATTCCTGTTTAACTAGGAGAACTACACATCTTGATCTGCCTTAGATAGTCCCAGTTCATACTTGTTGTACCAATCTCAATTTTTAATAATATCTCTTTATTCTTAAAATGATTCAGAAAGGCAAATAAATTGAATGGTTCACCCCACTTCAAACTTTGTTAAACTCTGGCTCCATGGTGTGAAAGCTTTAAAAAAAAAATGAAACTACCAAGATAAGCATTAGGAAATGTTCATTCATTTGAAGGAGGGAAAAAGTTTTTCTAAGAAAGAAACAATGAAAGAAAATTTTGCTAAGTTTGCAAGGGAAATATTCTAGATGATCATAAAAATTTGCACATTAAGTTAAAGAAAGAAAAACTAGTGGCAATATCTGTAGCATATGTTAGATGCAAAGAGTTAATGTGTCCTTTTTCACAAATAGGGAACTTCAGTAATCACTAGGTATGAGGCCATTTTGATACAGAAAGCCAGGAAGGAAGAAGAGGGTTATTAGTTATTCTGGGAGCTAGCTCTTCCTCAGCCTTCTCCAACCCTACCCGTAACCACACCATAAGTTTTTGTGACCTCTTTATGCTTGTCCTATTTTTCAAGACACAAAAGAGCTCCACAGGTATTGTGAGCAACTTTGATTTTGTTCTTTTATTATGTCATTCAAATTTTAAAATATAGAAAGTAAATACTATTTTAAATCTAAAACTTTACATTCTTTGAAACTAATGGTTAAAAATTAATCAGTATAAAATGTTCCAGGAAATCTCCAATCATTTTACAAAGCCTTTATTTATTTTTAGCAAGTGTTAAATATTACATTAAATTATAAGCCAACTATATAGTTTCACAGTTGAAAAGCTATTTGTATTTTTTAAACTCTTGAAAATGTTGGTCAGTGGCTTAGTCTTGCTGCGGTCATCTGTTTTAGGTTTACAGTATCAGTGACATAGTTGGTTATATAACTTAAAACCACAGTATTAACTTTGTTCTTTTAAAATCAAATTGAGTATCATGTATTAAAATAGATTCTTTACTCTCCATGGTGATATTTTAATATCTTCTAACTTTAATTTCTAGCTTCCCCTTACTATGAAGACAAAATTAACCTCTATTCTTTTTCCTGTAGCACATGATAGTCATGGAAGATATGCTCAAAGACTTTCTTCTTGGAGAGCACCTGTTATTGGTTGGTAACCAGGTGAGTTATGGCTGGCAGCTCAGTATTAGTGAATAAATGATAATAACAGTTTAAAAGCAGTAAGTTTCTTTTCCTTGTTGAGGTAAGTTTTAACAAATGATTATTTGTCCAGTTAAAGACTGGATTAAATGAGGTCTTTTATTTTCCAAACTTCTTATCATCTGGATTACAGCAATAGTTTGCTAATACAGCTCAACCACAATCTTATGCCTGCTCTGACTTACTCTCCACTCTGCCACCACATTGATATATGTAAGAAAAAATCTAATAAGTGTTTTTTTGCTTAAGTTGTCTTTCCATTACCCTGGGGTATAGTTTTCAGTAGGCAGGCTCTAGCCTCTGCCTACATTTATAGTTCTAAGCCTTAGCTTCCTCCTTTCTCACACTCTGTATTAGTTGCTTGACCCGCTCTGAACTTCCTTCATTTTCTTATCCCTGCTCTGGTCCTTGGTGAATGCTCCTCTCTGCAGTCCTCTTCACATACCCATCCCCTAACTCACAAGAGGTCTTCCCTTTCCTCTAGCTGAGTTAGATTTTCCCTGCTTTTCTCTCCTTGTCACCACACTAGTCACATGTTGCTATAGTTACGTAGTAGAATGACTGTCTTCCCAACTTGTCTGTATGCTTCTCAAGGGCAGGGCTGCCATTCCCTTGCTTATTTCTGTATCCTGGGTTCTTAATACAGTACTTGATACAGTCTAGATACCCAGTACATTTTTATGGAGGGAACAGAAAGGTATTTTATATTTAGAGGATTCTGATCATTTTCCTTGTGAATTACCAGACAGTGAATAGCATCTTTGTTGTTGTTGCTTTGTAATGTTCTTAAATTAAGGACATTAGGTTCCGGAAGAAGTTTTTTGTTTTTCCTTATAAAAGCAAAATTTTTTTTTTTTTTTTGTGATAAGGTCATTTATTAAAAGCCTATGGCTCTCTCATATTCAAATGATGAAAGAATGAAATCCTTTCCCCTAAAGTTAGGAACAAGAACAAGTATGTCCACATGCAAAAGAATGAAGTTAGAGCATTATTTTATAACATATATAAAAATTAGCTCAAAATTGATCAACTACCTGTATTATGGGCTAAAATTATAAAACTTAGATGTGGCAGTAGATTTAACACCAGAAGCTAAGGCAACAAAAGGAAAAGATAAATTGATAGATTTTTAAATTGTTATGCATCAAAGTACATTACCAAAAGGGTAAAGACACAATCTACAGAATGAGAGAAAATATTGCAAGCCTGTAAGGATTTTAAAATCTACAAATGAGCAGCAATAATACAAACAACCAAATTGAAAAATGGACAAACTATTTGAAGAGGTAGTTCTTTCAGGAAGATATACAAATGGCCAACAAGCACATGAAAAGATTCTCAACATTAATCTCCAGTGAAATACAAATCAATACTACTTTGTCCAAGTCACTGGGCTTTTAGGTTGTTCATAAGAATTTTAAACACTTGTTAACTAATTGTAATTCCAAAAATAGAAGACCTTCTTTCTTTGTCTTTTGGATGAAAGATAATAAATATGGTTTGTTAGAAATTTAATCTGGTTCTAATTACGGTGATTGTGTTTTTTTTTTTTAAATAATAAATTTTATTTTTATATTCCCCATACAATTGCAACCCCCCCATTCTGACCCCAATCCCTCCCCTCCCGCCCCCCACCCCCCAAAAAGTGTCTCTGGTTCATAGTTTTTTGTTGATTTTGATTTTCACTTTCTTATAGTTATTCATTTTCCTGGTCCCTTATTTAAGTTTTCTAGATTCCTGCTATGAGTGAGACCATCCGGTATTTTTCTTTTTCTTTTTGGCTTATTTCACTGAGCATGATCCCTTCCAGTGCCATCCATGTAAAAGCAAAATATTTTTTAATATATTGTGTCCCTCAATTTATAACTTTAAACTGTCTTTTTTAAATGGGTCAATTGAGTGGTTTACTGGTTAACAACACAGTCTTGGATGTTATCTGGCTAAAATAGCAACTCTTTCACAGACGGCTATGTGACTTTGGGCAAATTGCTTGTCCTACACAGACTCAGTTTCCTGATATCTAAGTTGAGAATAAAAATAGTATGTACTCAGTTGGGCTGATGTGAAGATCATATGAAATAATTCATGGCAAGCCCTTCACTCAGTGCCTGGCTCAAAGTAGTACTAAGTAAAAAATAATATCTAATGTCTATGTATCACTGTCTTACTTTAAAAGTACTTTAATATTCTCTTGTTTCATCTTTCCTAAACTAGAATTAAAAGGAGAGTGATAAATTATTCATGATTTTTTTTTCACTATTTGAAAAACTCTACTTATTTACCTAAATAGCATTTTCCTGATGAGTTCATATGTCAGGGGAGGACAAAGATCACTTAACAGTCCAGCATTTGGTCCTTGATACTGAAACTCAGGAAGTCTATTTCTTACCTCTCTTTGAAAAATCAGTGACTACATAGCCCAGAATGCCTCACAGACTTTTTATAAGTAGTTAAACTGTGGTGCATTCTCTGTGTTATTTCTAATGGTTCCTGCCATTAGCTGAAGGTAGAATCTTCTGATTTCTCAGCAGTACCAGATCAGGGTAGTAAAAAGAGTATACCAAGAATATACACAGCTTAGGTTTGAGGAATAATTTTGCTAAGGAGCCAAGGGGATATTGGAAAATACTCATTCCATTCCTATCATTTTATAGATAAGGGAAAAAAGGGGTAAGAAGAAATGTTTTTAAGGTACAATAACAATATACCCAATATCACATAGATATTTGTCCCTAGAGGTCAAGCTTTTGATGTACAAAAGCTTTGAAATATCCCAGAAAATATTGATGCTCTAGGGGTTTAGCAGGTGGAAAGCAATTGGATTTCTTGTTAAAGACAAGGTTTTTTATAATAGAGTCAGGATTTTCCAAGATTCATATAGGTAGAAAGGTTGAGGGTAGAGGAGCCAATAACCAGAGAAATGGGGGTTGGTGACAGCTATGCAGGGTAAGGGTTGAGATAGAACATGTGTGCCGCTTTATGAGAAATGGAGGAGGCTATCAAAGTGTTTTGATATCATTCTAGAATATATGCAAATGTGGGTGTCAAATGCTACCTCAGTCCCGAGGAAGAGAGCAAGATACTAGGCTCCAGGCTGGACATGGGGTGGAGTTAAGAGCACCCACCTCTCTACAGGCAGCTACAGGTAGACCCCAGCATCTACTGAGGGTAGAAGTTAGCACTGATGTTCAGGCTTGCCTAAAGTTGCAAGCTGAAGACCGTAGCCAGGAACAAGGCAAGAGGCATTGGGTATGGCAAACATCTTTCTCTCAGCACAGTCACAAACTCCACCTGTCATCAGGAAATCAATGCCTTGCCTTCTTTTACCCCTATTCTGCCATTCTCCACTTTGGAGAAAGAAAAAAATTAGCACGGGAGATTGTATTCAATATAAATTTTGCTGCGTTTAGCTGACCCTTAATCGGTGTTGTATAATAATCCCAATGTTGAAGACATTTTCAGATTTTTAAAGTAAATTCTACTTATGTCTATTAAATTTTTTAATGAAAAAATGTAACTTTCTCAGACTGTCATTTGATATCTTCCATTGTCTACTTTGAACCCAGTGGCTCATTCTTTCCCTTATACTCTTGCCTCAGATAAATGAAACATTCTGTTTTCCAAACATACCTTCTTATCAGTGTTATTTTTATGCCTTTGATCCAACATGCTCCTGCTTTTCTCCATCTTTGCCTATTGAAATCCTTTCAGCCTCAGAGTGGCAATGATGAAGCAAAAGAACACTAAGAATTCAAGACCTAAGATTTTTCAACTCCATATGATATTGGGTAGATTGTTACTCCCCCTTAAAAAACTTTTTTCTTCTTTCCTTTTTCCTTTTTTTTTTTTCTCATCTATAAAATGGTAAGATTGGAATAGTTTCTGAGCTCCCTCTGGCTGTAATATTCTATAATATAGTTCTTTAATAATTCTTCCTGAACACTTCAACCTGAAGATTTGGCTTCAGTCTTTGAAGTATTATAGCACGTCATCTATTGCTTTCTTTTGACTTCTTTTAGATGGATCTACCTTCCAGCTCTCTACTAGAGAAAGAGCACACTGTTTGCATCTTAGTTATTTATATACCTTCCCTGATGCTTACATTTTAGTAGTCAACAAATATTTGCTGATTGGATTATTGGATTATAAAAGTGACCTAAAATAAATTCCTAATGAATAATCGAAATGCTTGTAAGTAATCTGAATTTAAAATTTAAGCTCAGTTGCAATATTTCCAGGAAATTCTGAGAGAAATTGACAGGATTTCACTGTAAATTTGCAACTGTTTAGTGAAGGAAATAAATAAATTAGAATCTAGGGCATGCTTGCTTAAGAAAGTAGATAGTGGTCCATTTGACGGTTATATTCTTATAGGATCAGAGACTGATAGCATCATCACTGGGTCAGAATAATGATATAGTAATTATGTAAGAAATCTCTAATAATTACATGCTAATTAGTATTTAGCTAATTAAATGAGGAGCAACTTCCAAAAGAAAGGTCCCTACAGGTCAAGCTGTGACGTCCTAGCTGATATTGATGCATCTTCATATATGCTTACTTTTAAAAGGTTAGGGAGTAAAGGCTAGACCAAAGTTACTGGTTAAAATCTTAATATAACTCCAGAGTACCTTATCAAATTTCAGTTCATTGCAAACTTATTTTCAAAAGCTAACATCGGTGTTAAGATCCGATCAAGGGTTTATGATTAGATTCCTTTTTTCCCAACTTTATTGGGGTATAATTGATAGAATTTTTATATATTTAAAGTGTATAATGTAATGATTTGATAGACCTGTGATCTTCCCATCTAGTTCATTAACATATCCATCGCTTATATGTTTACCTTTTCATTGTGAAAGCATTTATGTTCTATTCTCTTAGCAAATTTCACATGTGAAGTTTCGCATTTTACAGTTCTCACATTTTACGTTAGATTCACAGACCTTATTCAACTTAGA